TATATATATATTATTTTAATTATTCCCCTCTGACAAAGCTGGCTTTAAGGTGACGGTACTTGAATTGTTAGACACATTAGAGGAGGTTGGAGGCTCGTATAATATCCTTTGACTAATATATATAAATAAATAATAAAAAAAAGATATAATGATACAACAAAAAATAATGATACTAATGTATCATAATAAACTAATAATAGTGTATGTATGTTAATAATAAATGAAATATAATGATAATAGTAGTAATAAACTAATAATAACATGTACATGCTAAGAATAAATAAAATATAATAATAAAAATAATAATGATAAACTAAAAATGGCATGTGCATGTATGTATGTATGTATGTATGTATAAATGGCAATATGTATATAATTATTACACCTTATTATTATTGTTGTATATTATTTATTATCATTAATAAAACATAAGAATGATAATAATAAAAAATATATATAACTAATAAAAATAACAAAATAACATTAATAATAAAAATCTAACAAACAATAATAATAGTCCACCTACAATAATAATAAAAGCTTAGGCACTGCATGTTTTCTCACATGATCAGCTTTATCTCAAAGTTAATCCATTACAATACTTGATGACCCGACTGACGCTTTCCGGTGGGTTAGTAAGGTGATTGATGATATTCGTATAATTCGATATAACCTTTGCCTCTCTTTGCGCTGTTAAAGTATAAATTTTGGCGGATTTTCTTGCAACACACCCGCTATTGGCCGAGTCTCCCTTAAACGACCGCTTCCCGAACGAACAAGTAATGAGCATAGAAGACCCCAATGCTCAATGTTGGGAGATCTACTTTGACAGAGCTTCGTCAGCACAAAAGGATAAAGGGTTGCAAATGATGGTGTTCGGTAAGGCATGAAACAAATTGATCTTCTTTACAACAGAGGGGGGGTGTTGAGATACTACTACCATTTGATAGAGTCATGTACAAATAATGAAACAGAATATGAAACTCTGAGAGCTAGATTAGAATTGACGATACTAATGGGGATAACTGATATTAACATATACGAAAAGTCACGATTGATTATTTGGGAAGTAGCCGGGCAGTATAAGATTTTGAAGCCGAAGTTAGAACAATATTTTTAGCACATGATGAAACTGCTAAGAGTAAGTTCTCAACTAGACAATATAGAAAGTTCAAAGAGGAAGAATTTGCATGGTCGCACAAAGAGTCTATCGACATAACGTTGTATCACAGATCGGCATAGCCACGCACAAATTAAGAAGGGAAGGACAGCCTCGGCGAAACCGAAATTTTTCTAACCCCAAAGCGTCTTAAAAAAACGGTAAAGACGAGAAAATATTGCGTCCGTAATCGGACATCGCTCGGGCATACAGGGCTCCCGCGGTGACGGACGACCGGAGACAGGGAGAGAGGACGTTCAACGAAAATGGTGGCGGTGCTGAACGGGATAACGCCAAAGCCGGTTGTGCTCTTCCCATCGCCACTTTCCACCGGGTGCTTATCTGTATCTTCTCTCTTCAGTTCCCGAAACGCCATCAGTGGAAATAGTCCTAAATGGAAAATCCTTCGCCAGGAACTCAAGTGCCAAGGCCGTTTTTCCTGCTTCTTTGCTGACGGAAACAAGCAGGTTTGCTACTTATATCTTCGTTATTCTGTTCATTGCAGCTATTTCTGGTGGCTTTTTCCGAAGTTTTGTAGAACTTTCACTGATATGTAGAATGTTCTAGGGATTCATTTTTAGTTTTGTTTCTGCTTATTGGAAGTTTAAATGTACCCTAAATAATATGCTATTATATTTATAAGCATGATTCGTGTGTTTTGTTGACTCAATTTGCACAAATCTTTCGTTATTATATCGGCAGATGCCGGCTTTCTAAATCTTTGCTTCCATTGATTCAATTCTTAATACTGATCCTGGAAGAATTAGGAAGCTATGGGTAGTTAACCAGTTCAATACTTTGGTATCTCGCAATGGAATGCATTTCAGTTTTCTGACCTGATGCAAACCATGGGAGATTGTCTATACTGGCCAATCCGAAAGCAAATGAACCTACTGCTTTACATTGCTTACTTCTTGATAACTATATGAGAGTTTGTCTGAATTTGATGTTTGTATTTTTTTTTGACATCTTTGAATCTATTAAGTGAATCAAAGTTTGCCTTCATTATTCTCCAATTCTCAATATATCCATTCTCATCATTGCCATTCTTTTAGCGATATATTTTGAATAAAATACAACCATGTATTTTGGACTGCCCCTTACCCTTGCAGCCACTTCACCTTAGCCACTCGTCTTCCATCTACATGTTTAGTTCATCATTTTATGCATCCTTCTATCCTTTATATTTCTTATTATGTCATTCTCAATTAATGGTGGTTCAAAAAATTTTCTAATTCATTACTTGCTTCTTCATTCCATGATTCTTAGGTTGGTTTCTCCTACAAAATTCAAACAAAAAACCATTCGGCTATAAGTTTTTAATATAAAGCTTTTATTACTCAACATGCACTAAATAATTAATTTATTTTATTTGGTTTACTCTTTATTAATATATGATAAAATAAATACTCTATAAAACAAGTTTTTAATATAAAGCTATTATTACTCAACACACACTAAATAATTAATTTATTTTATTTGGTTTACTTTTTATTAATATATGATAAAATAAATACTCTATAAAATTTAAGCCATTTGCTTACCAATAAAAGTACCATGTTTAAATTTTTGTACTAATTCTCAGATGTTGGTGTTTAGTATAAAGATTGATATTTCCAAATCTTAATTTAGTCAAGTTTATTTGTAATTGACAACCCTGAAAGAATTGAATGTCTTACTATATTGAGGGTCTAACATTTGCCCTTTTGTTTTGTTGTGATGGCACAAGATTGTTTAAAATAATGTCTAAAGACTTTTAGCGTTACATGGATGCAAGCTCAAACTTTTTCAATCTAATTATAGCAGGGGTTTTCTATAACCAAGCTATCATTGAATGTTAACATCAAATGCATGTCCTCATAACTTATTTGCTTTGCGAACAATGAAGGAAAAATAATATTAGGCCACAATTGACTGACAAAGTGGGATTTATGATGTGAAAATACTTGATATTTGAAATCCATTTACTACTCATGATGCTGCTAATGATGATATACTAAGGAAGTAGATACTAGGCAGCTGCCGACCAATTAATTCATCATTTTTCGATGAACTCTGCATATGTAGGCCTTAGGTTTTATTCTAAGATTTTCTTATGTTCTTAAAACATATTAAAGTTTTGTGTATGTTAAGAGTTTCAAATCTTGTAAGGGCACATGTAGCCTAAATATTATTTTGGTACTCTTCAAATTAGAATGACATTAATTTGTTCTATTTACATAGCTAGGTGAAATATTTTGATAAACTTTTCAATGTAGATTATGAAAATACAATCGAATTTAGTGATCTTAATATCATAAACAATATCAAAGCTTTTATTTCTACTTTCAATGGATGTTTAACAAAGTGATGCTCATACTAGCTACACATGACAAAAAATTTGTTCATATTCATCGCTTTAACTGGAATAGACCTTGGTTGCAGATTCTGTGCACTATAAATGTGTAAATAAATTCCTCTAATTTGGGATAGCTTCAAGACAATAATCAGTCGGCTGGTCCGACTCGAAAAATTGGTCACACAAATTGGTTAGGGAGTTCTGTCAATATGTTCGACCGACTCGAAAATTTGGTCACACAAATTGGTTAGAGAGTTCTGTCAATCTGTTCGGTCAAAGAGATCGACCCCGACTCAAAAATTTGGTCACACAAATTGGTTAGGGAGTTCTGTCAATCTGTTCGGTCAAAGAGATCGACCCATCAACCAATTAGAGCATCATACAAATTGAGCTAGGACACCTAAAAAATACCTAACGGTGAGTTGTCCCATAATCTGAATAGATTTTGGAGATTCACCTAATAGTTAGACAATAATATTACTCAGAGGCCATATAGACAGACAAAAAATCTAGGCTGCATGCCTATAATTATGTACTCTACTCTACACCATATTATATATAATGTACTTCACATTTTTTCTATAGCGCTATATATAGCATTTCTCAGCCAAGCCTTAATTATAAATAGAGGTAGTCAGAGAGAGAGGAGGGGAACTAAAAACAAATGTAAGGATTTTTCCATATAGATCAATAAAACCAGAAATATCTTCTTCTTACTCCTTCCTTTTTTCCTTCCTCATCTTCATTCTTTTATCATGGTTCTTTTCCCCCAACACAACTCTTTTCTAAGCGGTGTGTACCCACAGACAAGTTTGGATCCAACATCTTTAATGATGCGTTGAGCATGGATATGTCACATACTAAATGTGGGGCTATTCTCATAGCATAACCTAATAGTAAAGATCACTCCTTTGACTTGGATTGCATGAGGGAGTTTATCATGCAACAAATTGATGCGTTGAAAGACCATATGACTTTGATGATAAAAATGTTTTGCAGCAAGCCCTAAGAGAGGCATTGCATGCTCCTTTACCTTCGAACAAAATCATGGGTGCACAGAAGAAGAGACCTAGTCACAAGAAGTCCAACAACTAGGGTAAGAATAGCATTATCATTCTTTTTGGTGGAGGAAGAAGATCCAGATAGTCAAGGCTCCACATTTACGAACTATAAAATTGATGGAATACAAATTCACGTGAAGAGATGCCAATTTAAAAATGCATTCTTCAGAGAATTCCAAAAGTAAAAGCCCCAGAGAAATTCAAAATTCATGTTTTGGAGTCTTAAAAGCGAGGAATTGATCCCACTAAGCTTGCAGCATCATCCAAATCCACAATCTGCTCACTAAGAATTAATGATGCACTCAAATGTCATCTATTCTTGATAACTCAAAGAGTTTGTTCTTCGCTAGTTTAACAACCTTCTACTTGGGGCATTATTTATTTGTTAAGTCTAAACAAATGTTTGTAGCTAAATTTATTAACACAGTCTATTGAAGAGTTTGCAAATAATCTTGTGAATTCACCATAAGTTTGAAGAATATTTAAGGAGCTTCATTCCTCACTTCCTAAAGGGAATGTTGGATTTATGAGATTTAGGGTATGTTTGGCACAGCGGTTTGGGTGCGGCGCGGCACTGCACCCCTAATTTATGCCGTTTGGGGCTACAATGCCTCTGATGCGGGACGCGATTCGGCTCGAATGCGGAACACGAACAGTACCTCGCTGCCCGGCTTCGTCATTCGACTTTTTACCTCAACTACCCCACGTGATTCATGTTTATCCTATCCGATAACAATAGGTCACAATCTCTCCTCTCTCCACCACTTCTCCAACCGGCTTCCTCCTCTTCTCCGATGAATCCCACGGTAATGATCCTCTTCCTTTTCTCACGAGTTCTTCACGGTTCCTCATGGTTAACATCATTAAAAACTTTTTTTTTTTTTGATGGAGTTCTTTGGGATAGAACAGAGGAGAATCTTTGTATCTCAACCTTTTTTGATGTTTGTTTTATGTTGATTGTGTTGAGTAGTTGTTTATGGGAACTGCATTACAGTTCAACCTTTTAACGAATTTTTGAGATGGAACTGCATTAAGTTCAATGAATTTTTGGTGTTTGGTGAGCGTGTTTAGTTAAAATCTCCCCAAACTGCAAAAACTGTGATTTCCAGTTCAACATTTTATTGACTTTTTCCGATCCTGTAAACCTGGGTTTCAATTCATTTTGAAGTTATTTTCTAAGCTGCACAAAAAAAATTTCCCATATGGTAGCATGAATCCGGTCTATTATTTTTGCCTAAATGGTTGTGATTTATTTTTAGAATTTCATATTAGAGATATGATCTTAATGTTTTAGCTATCTTTCATTAACTCAAATCATCAAGGTCAATTCTTATGTTGCTGGTGTGAGATGATGATTGTTCGACAGGGCCAAGAAGTGATCTAGGTCTGAGAAATTGAAATGCATCAGAATTCTTATGTTAACTGCCCACTTTCTTTTGTTTAAGAAAGAGAAGTGAAAGTGCATTGATGTCCATCCAGTAATAGGTTCAACAGACAATGAGTTCTCGAAATGTATAATTGCGCAGTTAGCTTTAGATGAGGATGATGCTGAATGTATGTGGTTCACTGACATCCCTTTGATGCCCTGGGAGAAATAACATAGAGACATTATTTTTTTTTTACTTGGGTTAATACATATAGCTTATTTGTGGTGGCAATTCATCATATGTTTTGTTTAATCGCCACAATGGATCGAGACAATAAAAAAGTGGTGATTTGTTGATGAGCATATTTCTATCATGGACATCAGTAAGGTATATTTTGAGAGCAGACATTAGATTTGAAATGAAAGAGGAATGTACAACAATACATATGTGACACACACTTCTTATGTATTTGCAGATCCCACATCTAACTTTCATTTTATACATATTAGCACCAACGCTTTAGAACTATGCACAAAAAACGTGTATTTGAGCTTTAAAAAATAGCATATTAGCACTTCACCTGCGTCTTGGATATGTTGCCCACATCTCCCATGTATTTACATTTCTAGCCATTTAAATTCTTTATTTTTTTTATTTAGAACAGATTGCATGAAAGACATTATATCCCTTTTAAGAAGCTA